TAATACCAGAATAAAATAAATCTCACCAATTTATATTTTGTGCAAAGTGTCATATTTGGCCAAGGAAAGATCTGTATATCTTACTGTCCTACAGTCCTTCAGATCTAAACTCCATGGACCTGCATCTACTGTTTGTTCACTCATACACAGATGGATTCCTGGCCTTCACACTATATGATTTTTTGCTTTACACACCAATGGATGGACATAAAGGCAAAGACGAACATCCTATCCAGAACCAAATAAGCCCAAATATGATTTCATAGCAGGCCACAATCAAATGGCAATGCAAATGGAATTTATGGACCTTTCTTCATGTTCTTAAGTCCTGATGTCAGTGAACTATGAACAGTTAAATCACTGTAACAGTGGGAAGCTGCTATAGAAGTTCAGCTGATTTAGAAAACAAAACTACCCATGCTTTAAACATGATAGGAAGTATTTTGTCAAAAGTGAAACAGGTCATCGTACCTGAAGAATCCAAGAAGTCCAAGTCTGTACTGAATTATTACTACCACAACATTCTCATAGGCTGACAGTGCAGAACCATCATACCTAGAAGCACCACCAAATATAAAATTTCCTCCATGGATCCACACCATTACCTTTGAGAAAAAAGGATGAGACACACTTTTATACATTGCTTGGTAGATTTAATTTGAAAATGGAAAACAACATCAGAGAATTAGGAACTCCAAATCACTGAAGTTCAATGGGAGCTGAATTTCAGGTTGGTGGACTTGGAATTTTAGATAATATTATTTTCGGTAATGCAGCATCACATTTTCAAAAGCAGTTAAGTGATTTAGGAGCTATCATTAGGTCCAAACTTTGTACAACACAAGTTTGTAGCCTGGGTTTACTCACAGGTAACTTGTCCTTCTTGTTTGAACCAGCAGGGCTGTAAACATTTAGATACAAACAGTCCTCAGAAGTTTGGAATGAAAGGTGTTTTTCTTTAAAGTTTTTTTCAGCTGTTTTCAACATGGATAGATCTTGAGGACATCTTCACAAAAGAAAAGAAGCATGACTATTAGTAGTAAAACTGCAGTAGCAACAATGTAGCAATGACAGAGAAAACATACTTTCTTTTGCCCCTCAGACTGAATTCCCACAGGGGGCTTGGACTTTGTGTTACATACAGTTAGAGGTGCAACCTGTAAAAGCACAGCTCTGTACTTGTACTGGAAAAGCTGAATTATTTCAGCACAGTGTGAGAAAACATGATTTCCAAAGACAGAAATTTGCTGGGAAATCTTTGTGGTTCCTACTCCTACAGTTCTTACAAAATATTAAAGTACTGGCAGCGTATTCACTATCAGTCAAAACAATCTCCTTATCAAAAATCATAACTCTGTACCCTAATAAACATGACAACACTGACAAACATGAGCAGGTCCTATGTACAAATGAACTAAACAACTCTCACAGTGGTGGGTAAGAAGTTGCATCTCTCAAATCATTCCAGGGTTCAGGTGGTTCAGGGGGGGAAAACCTCAAGGATCCAACAGGGGCTTTAGCAAAAGGAATCCCAAGAAAGACATTTACAAGTCTGTCTGTCTCCTTCACATTTGTTTGTCTCCCTTTGAGCCGTCCAAGTGCGATAGTGACTTGTGGCTCAGCACCATTCTGTCCTAAGTAACACATAAAAAAAAAAGTAATTAAATTGCATCTTCATAATTATTAGACTTTTCAATTAAGTATTTTTACTGACTTTAATTTAGAAGATTTCAGCTTATTCCTTTCAATTTTGTTCAGTTTTCTTTTCGCTTTTGTGCGATAACAGACACCCCCTGCCAAACAGTCCTGTAGTTGGCTCTGCCAATGACAACTGGAGCTAGGTAAGACATAGTTTAATCACTGCAAAAAGCATAAAGCTTAAAAACAAATTTCAGAGCAAACAGCACCTGTCAAAATCATTAACATTTTATAAATTTATCATCCAACAAGGTCTTAAAAATACCTTGTTTAGATACTTTGGAAATATTTTTGCTTTCTATCTTTTAAGAAAGATAGAAAGTTTTGTTTTCATAAAATCATCTTAGAAATGGTTTCATCTCATAAAACCAGTAATTTTTGCAGCAAGCTTATTAGGATACTTTTGCAGATTGCTAGCAAAAGTATGAGGGATGTACTACCTTTGAAAATCACTACACTGCAACTCAGTAGTGAAGTTGCTTCAACAACAGCAGTAATAACAGATCTTGCATCTCACCTTCTGCTCCACAAGTGATGAATGCTATACTACAAAACAAGGTACAAAGCAAAGAAATCTGGTTTTGAGGAGCCATTTTGGACGCTAGATTATTTTCTGGTTTTATGCGGAAGAGAATGGTACAAAGGTCTTTGAGTGCATTCTGAATAGGGAGTGCAGCTAAATTCCCTTTTGAACAGGCACTGCAGTAAGCATGTTCACAACTGTACTTGATACAGTGTGTAAATACAATCCCTTACTGTAAGGCATTTAACCATTACCTGATCCTGAGAATGAATGATCTGAAAAGGACCCAATACCATCTGTGAACAACAAAAGATCTAATCGTAGTTAATCTGCTGTTAATCCTGCAAACAAAAAAACAAACAAAAAAAAATAGTGAAGCTCTGAAGATGTTCTAGAGCTGTCAACACTTAAATTCTTTAAAAAAAAAAAAACAAAAACAAAAACAAAACAAAAACCACCTCACCATGAAACAGGATTATAGATTTCAAATAATGAGAAAGTAACTATTGAAAAAAAAAAAAGGAAGTAGTAAATTAGTGCAGAAGATTTAATGAGGGACCAAGGTCTACTTACTAACACTTTATGGGGTATGTACTTCCCTCAAAAAAGTCAGAAAGAGCCATGACCTCACCTTTTCTATAAAATAGCTTCCTGCAGTGGAAATAGGCTGGCAATTCAACAGACAGTTTTCACCTGCTGGCTGAAAAAGTCCTAAAAAAATTTGTAGCTTGTAGAAGCATAACATCCCTCAGCGTGTATGACTGGCCCCAAGCAGATTACCCTCAAGGCTTTGTTCATAGTTGGGCCTACAAGCCCAGCCTGCTCCACTAATTCCCAGCCTTCAACTGGCAAAACACCCTCTACATAACTAGTCTTTGCCTTTCCACCTTTGATTCGCTTCACATCTCCTGGCACCCCTGCACTGCTTTCACTTAATTCACCTCCAGCATGGACACTCATAAAGCTTGTAAAACCAATTTCTCACCTCAGATGATACATCATGTAAATTCATCCTGCTTGGCAAACAGGTTTGTCAGAGAAAGTCAGTGCTTCTCTAACAAAAAGGGCCACAAATGAGATAGGTAAACCAAGATTTTCAGTGGAAGAGAATTCAGATCTACTTGCTATTTCTTACACAGTTCCTGAGTCTTAGGGCTTCAACAGCTTTGGAAAGTGTGTCAACTTCTCATGAATTTCACCTGGAACTGTGCAAATACTCATTGTTGAAAATAACTCGCCTCTTATTTTTTGTACTTCCCTCAAATCTTTCTGGAAAATCCTTTCTGTTGCAGTTATTTTTGTTCCAAGCCAACATGAATAGCTCTGTGTTTTTTGTCAATTCTTTTTGTGGACTAGGAAGACAGACCAAAACCAGGAGACAGATTTCAACATATGGGCATAGGTGTGTGCACCTGTTTGTGTATATATATATCCACCCATGTACATATAAAAATGCACATATGCACAAGGCAGGGAGCAAGAAGTTGGAAAAAGCAGCATCCCATGAGGCTACTTAAGTTGAATGCTTTGCATCAGTGAAATCCAATGAATATGGACTTCTTGTGCTACCAAACTGAACTTCCTTTATCCAATTAAAAAACAAACCAAACCAAACCAAACTCACTTGTCAAATCAGACATCTTCACCACTAAGGGCAAGTCAGCTCAGTCAGCTTTGTATTATGCTTACCAATAAAATTTATTATCCAAAACAACACAGGCTAACTGAAAGACCAACTTAAGATAGCAAAGGATTAGTTTAAGAAATTAAGTTTAATGGCAATGTAATCTATATATTAACTGAATATAATACAAAGATGAAAGCAGAGATAAATGGAAACTTTGCTCACAGATAGTGTGCTTGTCTTCTTTAAAGTATCAGCAGATGTATAAACACATCAGTAACCTTCAGAACAAGTCCTGCTAGGGGCAAACCCAATCTGGCCCAGTTCCCTGCAGTCAAAAGCATGCCTGAGGTAACGACCATTTCTCAAAGGCAGTGATGAGCAACAGAACCACAAACTGTCTTCCAGCTGCAACATTTTTTGAAGCAGCAAGTCTCAGCTCCTTTAAAATCCTCTTTTATTTCTGTCAGATGCTGGGGAAACTGCTGCCCTCCACGTGGGGAGCATTCACATCTTACTCGTGAGCGTGACTTGATGTGGCAGGCGTGAAAAAACCCAAACCCTACACAGATCATTTTTTGCAAAGAGAAATCAGTTATGTCAAGGAAGCTAAAACATAATATCCAGTATGTTTACATTACGATATGCTTTAACCTCATTATAAAGGAGTGCATGAAGCCAAACTATGTCATCATTACACTCTATCATTCCGGTTTCTCTAAGCTTGCAGGTTTTTTTAGATAGTTTGACTTTTCAAATTAATTAAAAGGTGAAATAAATCATTTTAATCAAATACATTTTGTATTTAATACGCAATTTACCCATCCTTGACAGCACTAAGTTGTCAGAGGGACTCAGATGTCCCTCAAAGACACCCAGCGGCCTCGCTGGCTCCACGGAAGCCGTTGGTTCGTCACCCTCAGAACTCGGGTTAAAGCTGTGCAGGACTGGCAGCGCCGGGCGCCTCCTCCCACAGCTCGCCAGCGCCGGCGCGGCCGAGCCCCGGAGCCCCCCGACAGGCCTGTTCTCCAGGCAGCCGAAAGTCCCAGTCCCAGTCCCGCTCCCTCCCACGGGAGAGCGCTGCCGCCCCACAGGGGAAAGCGGCCCGGGCCGCGCCGGCACCGCCCCCGGTGCTGCGGCGAATGGCGACCGGGCTCCTTCCGGCCCGGCGGCGGCGGCAGCGTCCGCCCGGCAGCGCGGCGGGGCGGGCCTGAGCGCAGCCATGGTGGGCCCGGGCCCGGGCGGCGGGGCGCCGCTGGAGAACGCCAACCCGCTCATCTACCGCCGCTCGGGGGAGCGCCCGGTGACGGCGCGGGAGGAGGACGACGAGCTGCCCGACTCCATCGACGACCGGGAGATCTTCGATATCCTGCCGGGAGGGGAGGGGCGGGCCGGGGCCGCGGGGCAGGGCAGGTCAGGGCAGCTCCGCTTTCCTTAACGCGTCACATCTCATTCGCTCCATTAACGACCCCGAACACCCCCTCACCCTGGAGGAGCTGAACGTCGTCGAGCAAATGCGAGTGAAAGTGAGTTCCCGCTGGGCCCGGCCGCCCGCCCCCCCCACGGGTCTCCGGGCCGGCCCCTGCCAGGCTGGGCTGCCGCGGCCTCGTCCCCAGCGTTAGTCCTCTCTAACACTGAGGGAGGTTTGTTATCGCAGCCCACTGCAGCCAAGCACAGCGTTTAAAAATGTCAGTGAGGAGAACTATAAGCGGCAAAGTAGAGCTTCACGTTGCGTTTCACATCAATGCCTCCCGCTAGTTAAGCCAGTGCGTTTTGAACATGGGAAGTGTTTGGTTTTCAACAGGTGAATGACGCAGAAAGCACAGTGGCAGTGGAGTTCACCCCCACCATCCCTCACTGCAGCATGGCGACGTTAATCGGCCTCTCCATAAAAGTAAAATTGATCAGATCTCTGCCTGAGAGATTTAAGGTGAGTGATAAAATCACTGTGGAAAGCAAAAGGCAGGCATTGCGTTTGAAAGGAGAGGAAAAAATTAAAAAAAAAAAGGCAGAAGAAATAAGCAAATTTACAATGAAAAATAACTAGAGCGTTTTTCATATTATGGGTGGGGGGAAACACTCCGGGAACCAGAGAGGGCAATGGATTAAAATACCAGTGCAGAATTACTGTTCTGTGACAGTCATGTCAGGGGTGGGTGGGGATGTGAAGGGAAGTTGCCTGCAGCGCTCAGCGGCACTGGAGGAGAGGCTAGTGCCTCACCCCCCTGTCTGAAGGAGGCTTAAGCAGATGGGAATGCAAAATATTCTGTGATTTTAGACTTCATTTTATTCTGCCATAACAGTAACTGGTTTTGGTAAGAATGTCCTTTTTTTTTTTCACCCCTCTTTTTGTTAATGTCTTATTTTTGTTAAATATTTTAAACTTGAGCTTCCAATGTTTTGTTGACTTGTCCTCTTTTCTTTTATGCTGCTCTTTAAGCTGGATGTTCATATAACACCAGGAACACATGCTTCTGAGCATGCAGGTAAGGTTTTTAGTGCTTTGTTGTGTGGTCTTTATTTTTTTTAATCTTGAAAATTAGAGAGGAGGGAGATTCCCACACCTGCAGAGCAGCTGTGTAGTATCTGGGACTTTATGTGTGTCAGCTTCTGGGGGATGTTACAGAACAGGACTGTGTAATAATGGCACTTAGGTATGTTCTGTACCGTACTTTAAACACCTCTTCAGGCAACCTGTGCTCTCAACTAGCTGTTAATTTGCCTGGGTTATGGAGGACTTGGAAAATGGGGAGAGGCTGAGGAGAAATTTCTTCTTGTGTTACACCTACACATGTGTAGCTCCCTGCTGCCAAATCACAAACAGCTTGTAGGATTAACTTGTGATACCATGCTAACTTTGACTTTAGGCTGCAACTCTGCAGTGTACTGTCTGCAGAATTACTAGTCTGAGTACCCCAGCAACAGTGTAATTATGTGTCTCAACATAAAATGCTTTAAAAAAGACCTTGCTTACCAATGTTTTGACCAGTTCCTTGTGGTGTTTTTTGTCTGCACAGTTAATAAACAGCTTGCTGATAAAGAACGTGTAGCAGCTGCTTTGGAAAACTCTCACTTACTGGAAGTGGTGAATCAGTGTTTGTCTGCTCGATCGTAATTGCCCAATGGGAACATCGTTGGTATTCTGCTATGTTAAACTTATTTTGTATATAAGTGGTGATGCTAATGTTACACTATGCGTATATCTATGAGCAAAATAAAATCACTTGGATTTTCTTAAAGAAATGTTGCATTACTCCTACAAAAAAAAGAATGTGGGAAATTAGCTTTCAGGCAGCTACAAAAATATAGGGAAAATTGACTTCTATGTTTTATTAAGTCACGACGTAGGTAGGATTTTTCTCTAAAAAGATTTGTTTCAACCTGGTTTTTAACTGGTCTCTCACTATCCAAAATTAGTTATAAACTGCATTTTAGAAGTGGATTTTGCACTGGACTTTACAAATGCACCAAGCTTATTGGCAGTTAAAGTCTTTACATTCATATGACTATTTTGGACTGCTAATAGAATTTTAGCTTCAGACATAAAAAACTGTGTAAGTTCATGTTTGCATAGTTGTAACACATTTTAACAATAAGTGTAAACACTTCTAAATCATCTGCCTGGTTTTTATTATATTGACTTGGATTAGCCAAATATGGAGGGCTCTTCAGACCTGATTTATTTTAAATTGCTCATCACTTGTGGTAGGAAATACAGTATCTTTGAGGGAGGGTTGGGGGGGGGGTTATGCACCTGCTGAAATATAGGAGAGAGTAATTCATAGTTTTCGGTACAAACAGTCCAGCTACCCTGTGCTGAAAGACTTTCCTGGCAGTTTGACAGCTAAATGACAAGTTTTGCTTTGAATGTACTGATATTTAATAATAATATTTAGCTCATGCTTCTGGTCTGGGAAGTGTGGCATTTACTAAACTACTGTCTTCGGCAAAAATTAACAGTAGAAACATTAACTAACATAGAAATCCAGAATCTGAAATTTTATAAAAGATGTTTCTAATGGTGGACCACATGGAAAAATAACAACCTGCTAAAGGAATTGTATCAGGTATTTTGGTGCCTGCGCACATGCAATGTTACCTTCATTGTCATCAGTTATCTAGAAACTAATACACTTTTTTACAAGTAGATTGTGCTTACCTGTTTAATGGTAATGCTTTGTTATTTCAGCAGTGTTTTTTCTTGGAGGGTCTCAGATGCTGTTTTAAAAATGTTGAAGCTTATGAACACTATGTAAACCACAGCCTTCTAGTCCAGTCTAGTCTTTGTTGAACTGCTGAGGAAACTGAGGCAGTGGTGATCCAACAGTGACATCGAAACTCACATAGCAAAATAGGACAGAAGGAAATCCAAATCTTCCCATTTCAGAAATGAGGCACCCAGTTTGCACAGGGCATCTACAGAAATCCAACTCAGCAGCAGCCTTAATCTGCTTATTTGGTTTAGTATCCTTTGAATGATCAGCGCTTGCCTGGATGTATGAGTGAAACTGTAAATAAAGACAATATTTATGTTGTATTGATCCTGAGAAAAGAGCACAATGACCCAGCTGTTAATACTATCTTTCCTCTCTGCTTCTCTTGCTGAGTCATTCAACTGATTAGTTCTGACATTGCCAACATTCGTACCACAAATGAAACTTCAGCCACAGCAATGCTTGCAGGCAGCTCATAGGGAACGTGCTTGGTTGGTTTGATTTTGTTTTCTGGGTTTTTTTATAGAAAGTGAATTTTGCCCTGACAGATTTGGGGGAAGAAAGGAATGCAAATATGTGCCGGGGGAAAACAGAAGGGTGACTAAGTTGTCAACAGATTGCTTCAACCTGCACTCCAAATTGAGAAGGAATCAGTAATTTATGCTTTGTTGCATCTCTCTGCTGGGCTTTCACCACTACATAATAATAGTGTTAAATAATATAGTGGGATGTTGGCACTTGCCTCATGAAGCACATGGTACGCAGTAACCCTGGGGGTACACTTTGCACCAATAAGCAACAGTATGTGGTAAGATTGTTTAAATTTATAGTACATAGGGGATGAATTTTCAGTAAAGGGACTATTATGGGGTATCAAAGAAAAGGTCTGACTGCTGCTGCATAGGGACGGAGAATGCTATTACTTTAGATCTGTCATGTTTCTTTAAGTGATGTGGATGCTATGTTTATGAGATAATAGAAACAACAATAAGGACAAACCACAGTTACTTTGCTGAAGATCGCTCCTGTCCAGGCTCCCTCAGCTTGGATATTTGCAGAATGATAATTTACCACCAGTTCCAGCAAAAATCTTCTGTTCCCTCCCATTCAAGAACATTAGCTGGCTCCTGTTGTATGGAGATAAAGTGGCAGAACACATTGATTTGTTACATACATTTATTTTCAGACTTAATCTTCCAAAAAGCTATCTCTAAATTTAGCCTCTGGAATGCTTTGTAATAAGACACATTCCATCAGAAACTATGACCCTTTAGAGCAGCTGTGTTGAATACAAACAGCCTCATTCAAATCCAGGAAAAATGCCAGAAACAGACATCTGTTTCACATTCCTAGGCTCTGGGCAGTAACCTTCCAGGGGTGGCTGAATGGCATTCACTACTCTCAGTGTGCAAACAGTGCAGCAGGAGCTCCTAGGGCAACCAGCCATGCTGTGCACTGGAGTAACGAGCCGTGTGTTTGAGCCCACAGACCAGCACAGTTTGTGTATCTCGGGTGCCACTGAGCTGAGGTGCTCGGGCCTGCCCACACAGCCTGGCTCCCTGGGAGGAAGCAGACTTCTTCCCAGCTGCTCCCATACCGCCCCTAGAATCAGCAGCTGAAACTTTTTAAAGCTGTTTATCCCCCCATTTCATGAGTGGCAGGGACGCAGCTCAGCAGCTTTGTACCCAAAGATGCAACTAAACTGTCCATGGAAGAACTTCACCGGCAATAATTTGTGTGTTCCTTGGGTGGAGCAATGTGTACCACACATTGGGAACCGTTAGTTAAAAAAAATTATTTCAGTTTTTTGGCCATGCTTAAGATTGATATGTTTATGTCAGTAAAGTGCTTTGATAAAGATCTCCATCTGCAGCTTTGATTTAAACACTACATGTTTTATAATGTTACTTTTTTTATAGCTGTTAAAAAAAAATTCCCTTTAGCCTGTCAAGTAGATAACTCCACCAGTTTCCTTTCCTTCACAAAATGCACTGTTTGGCATAAATACAGACTGAAGAAGTGGCAGAGTAAACTTTTTTTCCCTAAACAAAAGTTTATAGCAAAATCTTTCAAATGTTACTATAGAAAGGTAAGTATTAGCAAAGAGAATAAAACCAGAGGAACGTTATTACCTGTGTGATTAAGTCTGCTGGTATGTCTCACAACTATTTGCCAGTACATTTAACATAAAACCTTTTTCATTCCATAAAATGCTAAAAATACATAATATTTTTATAAAACATACAAATAGCAGAGAACCCTTATTTTGTTCCACACACTTCAGTAGTTGCAGAAGTCATGCTATCACATTCTGTAACCTTCTTATATATTTCTTAGTATCAATTCATACATTTCTTCTTTCGTGTCTGTCCTGGGTCGAGTGAGTGGTGGGTTTTTTTTTGGTGGCAGGGGAGGGGGCTATAGGGGCGGCCCCCTGTGAGAAGCTTCTCGAAGCTCCCCCAGCTCCAAGTCAGCTCCACTTCTGTTTGGAAACTGAGCCAATCAGCTGCACCTCTGCGATAACGTATTTAAGAAGGGACGTGGTGACGGGCAGTGGGACTTGTGAGGAGGAGTCGCTGCAGCTGCGTGAACACCAAGGTCAGTGGAGGAACAGAGGAAGAAAGGAGGGAGGAGATGTGCCAGAGCAGAGACCCCCCTGTATCCTGTGGTGAGACAGCAGGGCGGCCCCCCCTGCCACCCATGGAGATCTACGGTGGAGCAGATACTGATTTATGGCCTGTGGTTTCCGCCAGACTGATCAAGGTGCTGTGCCCAAAGAAGGCCGGGGTCTTGTGGGAAAAGGTAAACCCCGCTGCTGTAATTCAGCGCTGGGAGGATTGCAGCATGCGGGGATGTCCCACACTGGAGCAGCTTGGGAAGGGCTGCAGCTATGGGAGAGAATCCAGTCGGAGAAAGTTAGTGACCCATGACGGAACAGTGTGGGGAATGCTGCGGCCTGTGGGAGGAACTCATGTCAGAGAAAGTTTGTGGAGGACTGTCTCCTGTGACAGGGGGACCATGATGGAGCAGGGGGAAGAAGTTCCAGAAGCTCCCCCCTCTGAAGATGGAGAAGTGGCAGCGCTGACTGCACCCCCCATTCCCTGCCCCTGCGCCACTGGGAGGGGGAGGTAGAGATATCGGGAGCAGAGCTGAGCCCGGGAAGAAGGGAGGGGTGGGGGGAAGGTGTTCTCAAGATGTGGCAATGTTTCTCACTGTCCTACTCTGTTACATGTTGTTAGTGTCTGTAATAAATGTATGTTCTTTTTTTTCTTCCCCTAATGAGTCTGCCTTTTGCTCGTGCCCATAAACGGGGATTTTTTCCCCATCCCAGTCGTATCTCAAACCCCAAGCCTGGTTCTCTGTTCCTTCTTATTGCTGGAGGAGAAGGGAGAGAGAGTGGCTGTGTGGTGGTTGGCTGCCGACCAGGCTCAAACCACAAGAGTGTCCTACCTGTAAAGAGATTTTGCATCTTGTGGCAGGTTATCTCCATTCCTTATCTTTCCTTTGTGGATCAAAGAAGCAGCCCTGTCTGCAGTGATAAAAAACATCCTGGTTGTTTGGATAGTTGGAAACCCTGCTCTCCCAGCTTCATTCCACACACTCATCAGGGTTGCTGAGTAACTTGCCAGTTGTCTCATCAGTGTTGTTGCTTTTCAGCATCTTGTTGCAGCACACACAAGCTTCAAATGCCAAGGCTGTCCTTTTTAGTACAGAAGTTAAAACAGTCTCTGGTTCCTGCCATTAGCTGAGCTCACACTGCAGGACTGGAAGGAGCAAACAGGGCAGAAGTTAATTTCCAGCAAGTCTGTGGAACAAATATAACAGGGAGCAGCTGCTGCCTGGGAGCTTTGGGAGAAGGAGATAGTAGGAGCGTACAACATCTCACTGTGCTGCCACTAGCCTCGATCTGTGGCAACATGGCAAACAGGGAACTTCTACAGTGCTGGAGTCTTTGTCCTCCAAATTGCAGGGATATAAGTGAGCTCCCGTTACCTTATATTAGACATCTCCCGCCCCTCCTGTTTCCTTGTTCCCTCCAAGCTGGCTGCCTGAAGCAGAGATTCTCCCGTGGGGGCTGTAGCCAAGGCATGGCCACAGCATGGCCCCTCCCTGCCCTTTCTTGCTGGGCTGTTGCACAGCCCATCCCTTCCCACTAGTGCCCTTGCACTGCTGCAGGAAACAAGAAAGCCTTTGCTGTCCCACTGCAGGTAAATCACAAACAGCAGGAGGAGACAGGAGGATCAGGACAAGTATTTACATAAAATTAATGCTTTATGTTTACAAAGGGAGATGCACACTTTGCCAGATCCTAAGTGCAGTGGCCAAAGAGTGTGGGCAGCAGCTGGGGCCACGCTGAGCCAAGCAGGAAGACCGGAGTGATTGGCAAATCATCACTACCAAATTTTCTCTGCCTGACTTTATCCTCCCCATTATTTTGATGTAACATTGAGATGATGGTTTATCATAGCACTTTTTTTCCTAATCTACCCAAATTAGTTTCCTCTGGGTTCCCATCAGATGTGTCACACATGGCTTTGACCAAAATAACCTCAATAGATTGTCAGGAGCTTGCTTAGCCCCAGGATGCCTGGCAGCTTGATTTCTCCACACTTTTGCTAATGGAAGAGCTGGCACATGCTCTGTCTAAGGATTATAAAGGTGTCTAAGCAGTAACACTTTTAATTTCCCCTGCAAAGTGACAAATAAATCATCTATGTAGTCTGAAATGCTTGCAGAGAAAAACAATAAATGCCAACAGATTTCAATTTTTTTCCCCTAACAGTTTTAATCGAACAGAACTACTTTTATTTCTGAAAATCAGAAAATAGTTTCATTAACACTGCAGCCAACTTTTTAATAAACAATTACTTTTGAGGTAGACAGAAGATAATTATTAGGAATGAGTCACGTAAATTGTTTCTCTTCAAATTAGTGCTGACTTATTTTCACATTAATGCATTTTAGACACTGTCTTTTGAAACATAAGTCAATAATGTAAAGGCCCTCTCAATTTCTACTTTATTAACGATTCTTACTAATGACAAAATTTACTAGGAGCTTGAGACAGGAGCTAATATTTAAACAACTTCTTCCCCTTCCCCTTCCAACTCACTATTCTGGATCTGATCCTGCAAATTGAGAGCTTTAGTTGAGGTTATACTCTGGATTATATTTTTTGCATAGAAGTGTTGGAATCTTGTCACATTTATTTTTGCTGGTAAGAAGAATACCTTGTAAAACAACTGAAAGTTGATTTTTTTCAAACAAAAAGTAAACTTACCAGGTTTAGCCTCAAACATAATTGCCTTACCTTTAAGGCATATACCATTTGTGTGAATGCATTTTAGTTCACCTGTAGTCTAAGCACTTAACTCCACAGGAGATGGATTTATGCAGTTACCAAGTCATATAATTAATAGTTTTCTGCATTTTATGGCTGAATAAATAAACACTATAGCTTAGATGCAAATTGTATACACATCAGTTAGTGTATCATACAAATTTAGCACTTGTGATGTATTGTACTAATCTTTAAAACTGCAGGAACTTTGCTATTAATGTTATGAAGATAGTGTACCTCCCTCTGACATTTTACTGTGAGCTGGTCTTCATCCTCTTAAAAGTTGCTTGAGTCTTTCACTGACTACAAATAAATTATGTCTTGGCTTGCAGGCCTAACTGGGCAATCCCTGCTTCACCACCAAGAACGACAAGATGAAAGAGACAACGTGGTATGAATCATGCCTTGGTCCAGCTGGGAAGAATGGAAACCATCCCACAGAGCAGGCTCTGGAATACACAAATAAAATAACATGCCAAACAGAGGAAATACATACCTGAAAGCTGCCAAGACTGTGCTGTGATGTCTCTGATTAGCTATGTTCAGGTCTGTACCAGAAAAAATATTTGCCACAGAAACTGCAGTGCACAGAGCATGTGCTCTCACAAACACGGACAGCTTGAGGGGGACTGCCCTGCTCCAGCACTGATGTTTTCCCCAGTGCCTGCAGGTCTCCTGCCAGTGCCATGCACGTCTCCTGCCAGTGCCATGCACAGCCTGTCCCAGCCACGCAGGCTCCCCTGCTGCACCCAGACTGGGAAACAACATCTGAAAGCTCTGCAAGTTAGATATGGTTTTGAATGTACAGACAAATTGACAAATTAGTGAGATGTAGAAAAGGGAATATAGGAGAAATGAGGAAACAGGGGATAGCTGAAATCTTGAGCTGACATGGTGAATCCCGGTGTAGCTCAGGGGCTGATAATGGCACCCTGGCAGATGATGCTACGATTCACATGGGTCAGCGGCTGTCCTGAGTCTTGGCCAGCACAAACCCGGAGGAGAAACATGGGAAGATGTCTTCATCCAGCATCTCAGAGCTCCTGCCACCTCTCGAGGCTGGAAAGAGTCCTTCCAAAGCCCAGAAGCTGGCCTGGCACCTCTGTCATCCCGTTTGCCAGGTTTACTGACCTCATCTGGGGCACCAACATATCAGTGCCTGCACTGTAGCTGCTAGATCACATCAGTTTTTCTGCCTGTACTTAATTGGATCCCTTCACAAGCATAAAATCAGTGTTCACCTTTCACAACAGCCCTGTCCCTACATACAACAGTACACACAACAGGATGTCTTTTCCACTCATAAAATCTCTTTTTTAAAGCTGACATGGTTTCAGCTGACCCGAGACACAATTTATTTCAGCTGACTTGGTAATTATTGAAGCATTCCATTTTAATTAGGAAGATGATTAATGAAATCTGCCATAAAATTGTTTGTGGATTGTAGTCTTCATAAAAAAACCTTACAGATATGTGATATAGAGAAATAAATAGGAACAGTATACAGTGCATTGTTATTTTCTATCACAGCCAACCAAAGGAAGCCCATACATCGATATGACTTGACGGTGACAGGATGACAGACTCATTCCTCCAACGAACTGTTTTCTTCTTATAAGGCAAAAAAGCACTGCATCTGTATGAGATCATCTAGAAAAGTCCTCCTTTCTGAAAAATACTATATTATTTTTGTTGCCTAGCTACATACTGCTGTTACCTTAGAAGGCTGTAGATTCATCTGAATGATTCTGATAGTGCTGATGTGCTTGAGCAGAGGAGTAATGCAAATATATAACCCTTTCTTTGGTAAAGGTTATGAAAGAAAGGGGTGAGTGTGAAAAGAGCGAGCCTTCGCAGAAAAGCAATTTACTGTATTCATCATATTCTTTTTGACATTAATTATTGAATAAAGACCATTTCCCTTCTCAGCCCTGGGTGCATGAGCAAGCAGTGAAATCACAGACTTGATGCTTTTGACGTGAGGGTCCGATGCCAAGGAAGCGTTTGCCTGGTTTGTGTTAATTACTGCTGTGAGTAAGTGTAGAGAAGGGAAAAGACTGTCAAGACCTGATTCTGATCTCATTTCCAAAACTGCAAACAGGGAAAAATGCCATGAAAAGCTACCAGTTTGCTGAATTTCATTACCACCAGAGAATGGGATGATCACTGAGTCCTTCTTTGAACAGAAGTATCTTTGATGATTTTGAAAATTAAGAAAGTCCACTTAAAATGCCTAAGGCACAAAGATTTACATTGTATTGTGGCTGTCAAATAAACCTCTGACAGGGAACTCTGCCCTCACGCATGAGACATGCAGAGATTGAGAACCGCAATAATTCCCTGGAACTTCCCCAACATGATCAGCAGCTCAGCATGCCACTGCCTCACCAAAGATTTCAGTATGCTGGTATTCACTAGATATGGGGAAGTTGCTTGGGGGAGAATAAAATGAACAGGGAAATAAAGTTATTTCTTACCTGCTTCACTGCAACCGGTTTGGGTGTTGAATGCCCTCAATATGCATCAAGATTTTGTGGTTTTATCTTTAGGACAGGGAGATTTTTAGCACTGGAGTTTTGATTCAGATTTTCTAGTTAGGGTTGGCTTTGAAATTAAGATCTCTGCTTTCATAAAATAATATTTTTCAAGATTACTGTCTATAACCTTCTTTATGTAAGGTACACACTTCATACCATTCTGTTACTTCAGTTCATGCTCATGCTTGCTGTATTCTATCATAAACCTAGATCCTGATAATTTTATATTTTGGGGGGAGAAAGTGATAGATAATGAAGCATATTGTGATTATAATAATTATTATTACGTTCTCTCTCAAGAATAAAATCAGAAAGAACTTTGACAATTTAAAGTGAAAATAGGAAAGTTTATTTGATTTTAGTATAATTCCACAATAAGAATTTTTAGGGTCTTCATAGGAATATCTTGTATAACAGCAGAGGCAAAGCAGGAAATGAGACATTTAAAAGAAGTGGAGATGCTTGTTACTGCTATGATGCAAATGTGGAATTTGCCAAACTCAGCACATTCCAACTGGACAAATTCTGAGTTTCTCCTGTAACAGATGATAACATCTCTCACATGCAAATTCCTACACACTTTATACAAACGATTCCATGACATCACTCACCACAGGAAAAGACACCATAAATTCTGCACTGGGTTATAAAGAAGTGTAAAGCCTTTCTAATTCAAATTCAAAAGTCTCCTCTG